AAGTGTAAAGTGATACCTTCTGTGATTTTGATTTGCATTTTGCTGCTGATGAGTGATGTTGGGCATCTTTTTGTGTACTTGTTGGCGATCTGTATGTTGTCTTTGGAAAAATGTTTATTCAGGTTCTCTGCCTGTTTTTAAATCACATTGTTTGATTTTTTTGGTGTTGTGTTGTGTTTAGTTACTTATATATTTTGGGTATTAATGCCTTATCAGATATATCATTTGCAAATATTTTCTTCCATTCGGTAGATTTTCTTTTTGTTCTGTTAATGGTTTCCTTTGCTGTGCAAAAGCTTTTTATTTTTATATTGTTCCAGTAGTTTATTTTTGCTTTTGTTTCCCTTGCCTTAGGAGGTATACCTAGGAAAATGTTCCTATGGCCAATAGACATATGCTTAGAGTTCCTAAATAAATTAAGTGAATAAACAAAATGACATTGCAGAGTAGATGTTCAGATTAACAACATCTGTGCCAAAAGATGTAAATGTGCCAAAGATGTGATACCAGGATAAGTTGTTTGCAGTCTATACCAGATGTAACAAATATAGATAACAACATGGATTCAAAGAAGTGTTCCTATGTACAATGAGTGTAAAGGCTTAATGAAAGGCTCTTGTTTTTTGAACAATTTTTTTCTTATTACTAAAATTATTGTAGGAATATGTAATTCTTCCAACTTTAAGGTATGTCACTATTCACAGGATGGCATGTTTTAGGAATAAACATTTTAAGAATATCAATCTAGGAGCTATATTAGAGATAGTGTAGTTAGGATGTAGAAAAACAGAAGAGGAATTAAATAGGTTTCTACTAAGTAGGATTTGTATTTTTAAATTGAGACTTAAGAGAGAGGTTAAAAAATCAGACATTGATTATCACCTGATAGATTCTTAGATACCTATTTAAATTTGAAATATAACCTCAAGCTCAAGTATATTTCCTCTATAAATCAAATCAGTCTGAGCAGTAATAGAAGAACCAGAGATGGCTGGGTTCACATCCTAGCTTTGCCATTTTCTGACTGTGAGACCTGGGATAAATACCATAACCTTAACAGATCTTGCTGTAAAATGAAGTTAATAGTATCCACCCAACTCTGTTAGGGAGTGAATTTGATAATAATCAAAATATAGTAACTTACACATAGTACCATTCCATAAATGATAATGTTGTCATAATGTCTTTCTTAAATTTATTAAAGTGTAGTTGACATTCAAAAAAATTATACATGTTCTTAAGTATACAATTTGGTAAGTTTTGACATATGTATTCCTGTATACCATCATCACAATCAAGATGAATAACATATCCATCACTCTCAAAAGTTTCCTTGTGCCCCCCTGTCTCTCTTCTCCCTCTTACCCTCCATACTACATCATTCCCAGGCAACCACTGACCTGTTTTCTGTTACTACCCTTAAGTTTGCCTTTCTAGAATTTTATATGAATAGAATCCTACGTACATAGTTACTGTTAGTTTGGGGGGTTTTTTTGGTTCTCACCAAAAAATGGTGGTGACATTTTGACCACTTTCTCTCAGTATAATTATCTGAGTTTCTTCATTGCTGCTGTGCATATCAATAGTTCATTCTTTTTTAATGCTGAATAATGTTTCATTATATGGATATACTACCATTTGTCTATTCATTCACCCTTTGGTGAACATTTGGTTGTTTTTTTGTTTGGGCAAATCTGTTCTATCATCAGTTTTTTCCCATTTTGACACCAGTAACACAGTATCCTGACTACCATAACTTTATAGTAAATCTTGAAGTTCCTTCAACTTTATTTTTTTTTAATGGTGTTTTGCTATTTCAAGTCCTTTGCATTTCCATATGAATTTTAAAATCAGATTGTCACTTTCTACCCTATAAAAGGCCTGCTGTCATATTGATTGGGATTACACTGAATCTGTATATCAATTTGAGTAGAACTGACATCTTAACAATATTAAATCTCCCAATCCATGAACATAGTATTCTTTCTATTTAGCTAGGTCTTCTTTAATTGTTCTCATCAGTATGTTATGATTTTTAGTGTGCAGATCTTTTGTCATTTATATCACCAAGTACTTGCATGTTTCAATGGTATTATAAATTATGTTATTTTAAATGCCGGTTTCCAATGACTCATTTCTCATATGTAGAAATAAAATTGATTTTGGTACTTTGATCTTGTATTCTGACACATTTACTAATTCAATTAAATAGTTCTAGTGGCTCATTATAGATTTGATAGCATTTTCTATGTACACAAATATGTTGTCTGTGAATAACAACAGATTTTTTTATTCCTTTCCAATGTATATTCCTTTCATCATTTGTTCTTTATTGCACTGGCTAGTATAATGTTGAATAGAAGTGGTGCATTGTTTAAGCTTTGGAATGTCTGAAAAGTATTTTGTCTTTCTTTTCGAAAAATTTTTGCTGGGTAATGCAGTCTTGATTGATAGTGGTTTTTGTTCTTTCTGTACTCCAAAGATGTTGCTCCATGGTCTTCCAGCTTGTATTATTTCTAATAAGAAATATCTCATCCTTGTCTTTGTACCTATGTGATGTGTTTTTTTTTTCCACTGGCTGTCCTTAAGTTGTCCTTTATCTCTGGTTTATTATAATGTAACTTTGTGTATTTTTTTCATGTTTCTTGTGCTTAAGGATTGTTGAAATGTTCTAATACATAAATTTAAGTTTTCTGAGAATCTGAAATTTTCTATTTTTTCAATTGCTTTTTCTATGCCCTCCTCCTCTTTGAACTCTCCAATTACATATATATTCTGCTACCTGAAGTTGTCCTATAGTTCACTGATACTTTTTCTTTTATTTCCATTTTTAAAAAATTTTTGGAGAATTTCTACTGTCTTCAAGTTCAAGTAATCTTTCCTTCTGCAGAGGTCTAATCTGCCATTAGCCCTATTAAGTAAATTTTCATCTCTCACATTATAGTCTTCATCTCTAAAAGTTCAATTTGGGTCTTTTTGCTGTCTTTGAAGTCTGTAATTAACATCTTCAAACTTTGCTTATAGCTTCCTGAATATATAAACTACAGCAATAATAGCTATTTTAATGCCTTTTACTGCTAATTCTGTTACTTATGTCATTTCTGGGCCTGTTTTTATTGATCTTTTTTTCTCCTCATTTGCATCATTATTTTTTCCTGCTTGTGTGCCTTGTAATTTTTTATTGAATGTCAGACATTGTGAATTTTATATTGGAAAATGGATTTTTTTTTAATTCCTAGAAATATATTTGAACTTTGCTCTGGAATGAGGTTGAATTTCTTAGGAACTATTTGATTGTTATATATCTTGTGTATGAGCTTTCTTAGGATCAGAGCAGCATTTGTTCTAGGTGCAATTTTTCCCTGCTACTGAGAGAAGATGTTTTTTAGTATTCTGATAGCCTAATAATGGCAAGGTTTTTCCAGTCTTGCTGATAAGATAAAGTACTATTCCCAGTCCTGTGTGAGCACAGGACTGTGTGGTGTTCTCTCAGTCCTTTTTAGTCATTATTTTCCGAGCCTTGGATTGTTTCCTCACACATATGCACTAAAATATGACTCACTGTGCCCTTAAATTTTCCACTTCTTGTGTTAAGTACCAAGAGTTTCTTTGTTCATTAACAAAGTATTCAGCTTAGATTTCTACTAGCCCTTACTAGTTAGTTTCTTAAATATTTGGCCCATTAAGTGTGAAGGAACAATCATTTGTCATACTTGTCTATTAGAGATGTTTATCCTCATGCAAGAAGCCAGCCTGCATCTTTGGTTACCCTGACATGGTGATTAAGTAGTATCTCTAGCCCTTCCTTGGCAGCTGCTAGGGACTTTCCTGACTTAACTGCCTCTGTTGGAAAATCCCGATTCTAAGAGCTTTCAGTCCCTGATTTTACACATAAGCCTATAGTCTCTTTCCACTTAAATGCAAAACTAAACACCCTACCAATCCCCAATTAAAGTACTTTTTTGTAAATTTACAGTTACCACTGTAACAGATTGCAAGAAGCACTGATTGCTTCTTGTTGTGTTCATATTGTTCTAAATGTTATTGTTCTTGTTAAAAGTAGATACATTTTTCACTGAGCAGAAAAGGTTGCATCAGAGCACAAATATTTTAAATTAGATGTACTTTGGGAAATGCAAGTGATAGCAATTTTATAGATCTTCAAATCTATGGATGCTATTTTTTTCATTATTAATCTTTAAGAATGGACTTTTTAGGAGTCAAACACAAAGCACCCTAGCAGAAAAGGATCATAATAAACTATTTTTAAAAGGAGTTTGAAACCAACATTGTAATATATGGTTTTTCTATACCCTGCTAGTCAGCAAACCAGCACTCAGATGAGTTGGAGGAGATTGTGTGAATTCAAAAATGGAGCATGAGGTTACAGGAAGAGCTTTGGAGTCAGAAAGACATAGAGATAACTTCAACTCTTCCACTTTTGAGTGATGTGACTTTGGGCAAGTCTTTTAGCCCACTGAACCTACAGTGTATCTTCTTTAAATAAATATTATACCCCCTCCCTCATACTACTGATAATGAGTTTCAAATGACAGAATGAATGAAGACATAGTAAAGGCCCAGTCAATGGCCTTTACCTCTGTTAAGTGTGTGAAGTTACTTTCCTAGTGAGAAGCTTCCACCCAAGGGAAAATATCTACTACTAATTCGAAAATGTGTATGTGTGCCAGGAAGATGTTCTATGACCTCAGAAGAATCTTTCACTTACCTTGGAGCAGTTGACAAGCTGAATCACAAAACAAAGAACACATATATACATACATACATACATACCAAGTAAATGGCATTCATCACAGGAAGAAACATTGACTATTATATTATGGTTAATTTAGATTTAAAAGACTTCATAGAGTGACTTTAGATCCTACTGTTTTTTGGTTGTTTTTTTTTTAATCTCCTGTATGAGGGCAGTTCAGAGTAAATTACTGATGTTCATTTTTACTGTTACTAAAAAGTGTGCTTTTTTTTTTTTTAATTAGGGAGAGTTTGTTGCTTGTCTCCTGTCCCTATTACGACAAATGACAGATAGACATTATCAACAACTTCTTGATAGTTTCAATACAAAGGAAGAATTAAGGGTAAGTGACTTCTTAAAAAATTTCCTACATCTTTCTAGCTTTCCTTGTTCTCATTCATCATTGTTAAGAGAGCTTCTTGACAGTTGTTTTACCTGTTTCGGTTAAATTCTAAGCTGTTTTTTCTCACCTTCATCCACATGTCTATCTATTTTGGCTCTTAAAGATTTCAACGACTCAAGCAAAGCAATTAACTTTGCTTTTATACAAGAACATAGGAGTTGAAATACCTGTCAGCAAAATCCAATAAACTAAAACAGAATCACAGACCTAATGAGACAAAAGCAAATAGACTAACTCTAGTTAGGTGGACTTAGAAATATTGCCTTAATAGAAGGAGAATCTGTAAATATATTAGCTGATTTCCTCCTTCTCTAGAACCACAGTGAGTTCTGGCTACAATGTTCTGACCAGGGAGCAGAGTTGTATTTGATATTCTCTATCAGCTACGGCCTAATCAATATGCTGTGCTAGTGTGACAGGATGACATTAAATAGAAAATATTGATACCAGGTTTGTAAAAGTTCAATCTTTGCTGAGATTTAGGGAACGTCAATATTTCCTTCGTGGTGTTCACTAAAACCTTAGAAGTTGATTGTCCTCAGTTGGAGGAATGACCTGTCATCTCTTCTTATTTACTTTGATTTCTCCTCCATCTCCTGAGTTTCCCAGACACCTTTATATGTAAACCCTTGTAATGGACGGGGTGCTTACACGCCGGTGGTGCTGAATTATAGGACAGTAGGAACAGTTGTGCTGCAACGTTTCTATGACCAGAAGCCTTCACAGCACCTCAGGGAAAGACTTGTATATTTGTTTAATATAGATCACTCACAGAAATCACTTATCTTTGATTTTTAACTGCCAGGAAGATGTTGTATGACCTCAGAAGAATCTTTCATTTACCTTGGAGCAGTTGACAAGCTGAATCACAAAACAAAGAACAGGTTTGGGCAGATATAATTGCTCTAGCAGAAAGTCAGTTGGCATATACCCATGCTTAAAAATACATTTTTCATGTTTACTTTCAATCTTGAGTTTAGAATTAAAAACAGATAAAAGGCCTTAGAAGATGCTCACTCTACATACAGAAATTCATGTGGTTAAAAAGGAAGATAATTATACAGTCATTAACTTTCTTCAGAAGTTAAATATGTAAAACAGTTAAGGAATTATTAGGTTTTAAGGTGTTTTTTTAAGATTTTATTTATTCATGAGAGAAATAGAGAGGTAGAGACATAGAAGGAGAAGCAGGCTACCTGCGAGGAGCCTGACGGGGGGGACTCAATCCCAGGACCCCAGGATCACGACCTACACCAAAGGCAGACGCTCAATCACTGAGCCACCCAGGTGCCCCAGGAAGTATTAGGTTTTACATAAGGAGACTATGACTTCATATTTCAAAATTTCATATAGGAAAAGCTACTTATTTTTACAGAGCCTGGGAATAAAAAAAATGCAGAGAAACATACACTGAAAATCATAATTAATTCAATCCAGGTATTGAATTTTTTGCCTTATTATTCACATTAATAATAACAAGTAAATGGAAGTAAGTAATGAATAAAGTGTTTTATGTGGCCTTTCCTCATTTCAGTCAGCCACACACCTTTTCACAATTTCCCACTTCAAAATTAACTGGGCCTTCAGGCCAGGAAAGTTATTGAATGCTATTAATAATCTATCCTTTAAGCAATATCGATTGAGAAATTCAGGCAAGTACCGGTTTTATTATGCAGCCAGATACAAATTGTCCAGTCCTTGTAGGGGGAGAAATCAGACAGGTAGTAGGCATTAACCCCACAAGTGGTGAACTCCCAGGGTGAGCACATGGTGCTTTGGAGCATCTGTGAATTGCTGCCAACCCAAATTCATAATATGAGGAAAAGTTTCCAAGGGTGATCTCAGCCGAGAGCTAGGAGATAGGAGAGTAGGAGTGTAGTGGACCTACCTGCCTTTGGCTAGGATATTCAGATCTCTCAACTAAAATGACAAAGAGTATACTAACAAAGCATACTCTCTGCACCACTTTTATTAACAGTTATTCAAAATCTGGAATGTTTTAGTTTATTTGTTTGTGTGAATCCCAGCCCCTAGTCACTAGATTATAAGCTCCTTGGTATGAGCATGCTGTACCTCAGATCCCAGAACATGCTTACCACATTGTAGGCACTCAAGAAACATTTGTTCATTGTTTGGTAGAATATAGAGTATGAGAAACAGAGTTTTAAGACACAAGGCTTAGAGAGTGTCTGTGAACTTTATTTGGACGACATTTGGAAGCTGGAGGATTTTAAGAAAAAAGGGAGAGCCGTGATCACATTTGAGTTTAGAAAAACCTGTCTGGTTGCACCTTTGAAAATAAATTAACTGAGGTCAAACAGGAGGCAGAAGCCTGTAAAGGATCTGATGCACTAGTATGAGCTAGAGATGATCATGTTGGTAGTTCGAGGGACATTTAGGAAGTTGAATTGGTAGGTCCTGATGATAGAATTTATAACAGAAGTGAAGGAGAGAAGAGTTGAAGATGACTCCCAGACTCTTTGACAACTGGCCAGATGTTGGTGCCACTCACTGCATGGGGAACCCAGGAGGTGTGGGTGTACAGGTTTGGGAACAAACATAAATCCAGTTTCAGCTAGAGTTTGGTCACTTGAGGGACGTCAAAATAGAGATGTCTTAATAGATAGGGTCTGAAGTTCAGGGGAGAAAACTGGGCTGCAGATGCAGATTTGGGAATTGTCAGCCAATAAATAGTAATCGACATCATGAGAGTAAATGTGAACGTCTAAGGAGAGTGTAGAATATGTAATTGAAGGAATCTAAATAGAATCCCAAGCACTGGGGCACCTGGGTGGCTCAGTGGTTGAGTGTCTGCCTCGACTCAGGTCATGATCCCTGGGTCCTGGATCAAGTCCCGCATCGGGCTCCCCATGGGGAGCCTGCTTCTCCCTCTGCCTGTGTCTCTGCCTCCCTCTCTTTGTTTCTCATGAATAAATAAATAAAATCTTAAAAAAAAAAGTATCTTAAGCACTAAGAAGGAAGAAATGTTGAACACTGCTTGCTACTGCAAGGAGGTGAACTAAGATCCTAAAAGGGTCCTTTAATATTGTTGATGAATATTAACATACTAATTGTAGATGAGCAATTTCAGTGCAGAGGACAGAAGCCAAGCTGTCATGAACTGGGGAATGAAAAAGGGAAAAAGAGATAGTAGATGTAAACCGTGTTTCAAGAAAAGGAGGATAAGGTGTTTACGGAAGGAGAACTTTGGTATCATGGGAGTATTTATGATGGAGGAGACTGAAGCGTGTTTAAATGTTGCTGATCAGAGCTAGTAGATTATAAGGTGAAGGTGAGGTGTAAGGAAGAAGCACTCAGGGTAGTGAGACTCCCTGAGCTGCGGCGGGGAGGCTGGGGGTGGGGACAGAAGTAGCCCTGACTGCGAGGAAGAATGGAAGGGGGGTAACTGAGGTGAAGGCAAGCTAAAGGTCACTTATTTTACTAAAGGCTAATTATCTGGTTTTAATCTGTATTTTTAAAGTTCAGAGATCATCTTTTAAGAGATCAATTTTTCTTTTTTCTTTTTTTTTTAAGATTTATTTATTTATTCATGAGAAACACAGAGAGAGAGGCAGAGATGCAAGCAGAGGGAGAAGCAGGCTCAGATCACGCCCCGAGCAGAAGGGAGACACTCAACCGCTGAGCTACCCAAGGCATCCCAGACAATTTTTCTTGTTCTCATTTTTCCTCAAAGCCAAACACCCCCTATTTATACTGTTAAAACCTATATTACAAGATCTTTCAAAGATAGTAACCCTGGCCCCAGTCCTTTAGGCAAAGTCCTTATTATCATGTGCTTTTTAGAAATTAGAATCTTTTGACACTTCAGAAAGATAATATGGTGCACATAGCAAGTATGATGTAGCCCCTCCAGTAGGATTTGGGACAGCCGCTATAATCAAACATCTTAATATTTCTGCAGTCAAAAAATATTCAGTCTAAGTGGGATTAAATAAAAACGATATAGCTCAGGTCAGGTTTTGCTGCCAAATGGATTATAAAACCCAAATTTTTAGGCTACTTTGGGATTTTGCTCTTGTGGGGAAGGACCCCTTACAGCAAATGAGAACCCCTTATAGCAAATGCTTAATGCATGCAAGGTACTGTTCTCAAAGGCTGATTCGTAGTAACTCATTTAATCCTGAAAAGAACCCCCAAAGGTAGGCACTGTTATGATTTTATTACAAGTGTCAATTATTTGATTCAGCAGACATCTATTGAGCACCTTGTGTAGACATTAAGGATATCAAGACTAACAAAACATTCTGTGTCAATGCTTTGATGTTATTAAGAGCATCTCAAAAAAAAAAAGCATCTCAGTCATTAAATTATAAATGAGCATGACGTATATAAACACGGCGATGCCCACTGACAGTTATGGGCTATCTCCTTACCCCCACTCCCACTGCCATGAGCCAGATGCAGGCTTAAACACTTTTTCCTGCGGTGCCTCATTTTACTCCTGCTAATCTCACCCAAACTCCTTTCACCCCCGCAAGGAAGTAATTGAGAGGACCTAGAATTCTATTAACATCTGAGCTCTTTGCTTAGGCAGCTAAGCTCAGCTTTTTTGTAAACTTTAATGAAGTTTGTTAAACCAAAATCTTTGCTATCAAATTGCATGAAATTTCATTTGTCAACTCTGTATAAAGTAATAAGGCAGTTCTGGTCATGAAATGGGGGATAAAAAGCCAAATTAATGGAAGGAGGGTTATTTGGGGTTTTTGTGACTATCTTCAGGTTAGAAATGGAATGTATAATATATAAGGGAACTATACATAAGGAAAGGTACAGCTTACTAAAGTGCTATTTAATGGAAAATCATAACTGATACTGGGATTAGACATTAAAAATCCCATTTAACCTACTGCTTAAAAGTGATTAAGTATATGTGTATTCTCTCCCTCCCCTCCACACACGTGTATTCTAATTCCCAGAGG